CTCTCTCTCTCTCTCTCTCTCTCTCACACACACACACACACACACACACACACACGAACTCAAATAAATCACAGACCTAAAAGTTTACACCAAACTGTAAAACTTGTAGAAAGTAACAAAGGAGAAAGATTCAGATGATCTTGGGTTTGGTGATGACTTTTTAGATACGACACCAAGAGCGTGATCCATGAAAGAAAAAACTGATAAGACTGGACTTCATTAAAATTCAAAACTACTATGCAACATTTTGTCAAGAGAATGAAAAGACAAGTTACAGCCAGACTGGGAGAAAATTATTTGCAAAACAAATATCTGATGAAGGTCTTTGCAAAAAAAAAAACAGGGAGGCGACATCTTTTGACCTCTTCTAATTTCACAAGAGGAAGACAGAATTGCTATAGGACCAAATGCAGGTCCCTGCCTGCTGCGCAGTCAGACCAAAACAGTTTACACACCGAGATTGAGAGGAGAGAAAATTATTTATTGCAAAGCGGCAATGCAAGGAGTAGGGGTAGTTCAGTACCCAGATCTGACTCCCCGAGATGCCATGAAATACAGTTTTTGTAGGTTTCAGGAGAGGGATATGCATTTTCACAAAAGGTTGAGGAATTTGGAGTGTGAGCGTGAAATGTGTGAGGATTGTTCCCAGAGGCAGATGAGTCACACCAGCTTCCTGTCATCAGCTGATAGGGGCTTGAGCAGAGGGGAGAGGGTCCATGATTAACTTTTGTTCCTTTCTGCCCTATTGTGCATGTCAGTGGGCCAGAGTTAATTTACAAGTTGTTTCTAAGACACTTTTAGTGTGTCTATCACCTGCAGGAAAGAAGTTTTCCATTCAGTTCTTTAAGGAATTTAGTTTACTTATCTATTCCCATTTGGGTACTGGTTTCAGAATCATCAGCAGCAGCCCTTGGCTTATTCCTATGAGGCCAAACTTGCGGCCACCCTCCAGCCTTTTACCATTTCTGACACCACCCTTCCTCCCACGGCACTCAATACTTCTCTGCTGGGTTCAGTAATTCATTGTAACGGCCTCGGCCTCGCAGAACTCACAGACAATACTTAGGATTATGGGGTTTATTAAGGAAGCAACAGGCTACAATGCACGTTCAGGAACATGCACAGGATACAGTTCTTCGATCAGGACAGTCTCCCCTCTGCTGTGCCCTCAGACATGCCTCTCTGGCCTGGCCTCTGCCCTGCTTAGGCAAGTGTTACAAAGCTCTTTTAGCTCTGCTGATAGGTACACCTAGGTGTACCCCACCTGCCAGCAAGCCTCCTGCCCAAGGGCACTCAGCTCTCTGGGTCTATAGGCCAGGTAAACCTGCCGCTCTGTCACCTGCCTCTTGGTTCCTCTGTGATCGTCTCTCTGCTGGGGCATCTGTCAGGGTGGTCCAGCGCAGGGATCTCAGGTCCAAGGATGCACTCTACTTCACCTCCAGCTCTTCTCTTTTGATGACAATAAGATCCTCTCTCTGCCTCTGTTGTTGTTGTTGTTGTGTGCCGTCGAGTCAGACCTGACTCACAGCGACCCCTCCTTGGGTTTCTGAGGCGGTATCACTACGGAAGTAGATTGCCCAACCTTCCTTCCAAAGAGAGTTGAAAATTTATGTCCACACAAAAATCTGCATAAACATGTTTATAACAGTTTTATTTGTAATGGCCAGAAATGGAAAGAAATGAAATGTCCTTAAGTGAACTGATAAACGGTGGTACATCCACACCAGAGATGACTATTCAGCAATAGCGAGAAGTGAGCTATCAAGTCACGAGAAGACGGTATTGTTCAATGACAGAAGCCTGGCTGAAAATGGTGCACACTGGTGATTCCAACCAGATGACACTCTGGAGAAGGCAAAACTATAGTCAGTAAAAAGCTCAGTCGTTTCCAGGGGTTCAGGTGGAGGGGAACAGATGAATAGGAAGATTATCTGGTATTTTTAGGACAGTGAAACTATTCTTTAAGAAACTGTAATGGTGGACACATGACATTAGGCATTTGTCAAAACACACAGAACTGTACAACACAAAGGGTGAAACCTTAATGCAAATTACAGACAGTAGTGAATAATAATGTATCAATATCGGTTCATCAGTTGTAACAGATTTACCACATTAATGCAAGAAGTTAGTAATAGAGGAAACTGTGTGTGTGTGGGCAGGTGTACATGGAACTCTATTTTCTGTGAACTTAAAATGCTTCAAAAAACATCTATTAAAAAATATGCCAAGCAGCTTGGGACCATAGTTTCAGGGGATATCAAGCTCAACTGGCATAACATACTACACAAAAGCATTGTTCCACATACTACTTTGGCAAGTAGTGACTGTGATCTTAAAAGCTTGCAAGCATCCCAATCCAAATCTCATCAACATTCTTTAGGGATATGGAAAAACCAATCACTAACTTTATATGGAAAGGAAAGAGACCTCAGATAAGCAAAGCACTGCTGAAGAAGAAAAACAAAGTAGGAGGTCTCACACTGCCAGATCTCAAAACCTACTATACAAC